TTTATTTTTTACACGTGTCCCCCACAGCACGAGATAGATATCTCGAGGTATAGGAAAAGTCGTCTTAGGAGAGCCTGTGTTTCCAGGATGAAAGTTTAAATTCTTGATGAAAGCGGTCGGAAACGATGTAATAAGAAACTTCCCGAGAGAGAGAAAAGAAAGCTCGCCCCTTCCAATTCCCTCGCCATCCACCTCGCCTCTTGCATAATTCGCGATTTCGCAGGGTTTTGGAAGGGGGTGTTAATTAAACCGGCAATCTGTTCCCCCTCCCCTCCCCTCCCCTCCCCCGTTCTCGAAAGCAACGCAGCTGACGCCGCGACAACGCTCAACTTTCCGTTTCGCGTTAAACAAGCGATAACACCCGATGAACACCCGCCAAAACACCTTTTCACACCTTTTCACACCGCCCGATCCGATGAATTTAAAATGCGGAAAACGCTCTCCTTTCCCAACGAATCGCGTCTAACGAATCTTTCCGACGAATCTCGCCGACCAACGTTAATTAATTTCTCGAGCCAATATTTATATCCCTCCCCCTCCCTTTTCTATAACTCGTTCCCCCTTGATTCACGGGGAAAAGTTCAAGGGAATTATTGAACGACTCGCGGATCACGGATCATTCGATTGGTTAGTGTTCGAAAGTGGCGTTTACATCCCGTTCGATTGGCGTGTTCGAATTCGATCGTATATCGATCGATCGGGAAGGAAAGGAGCGCTTTAACGCGACGCTTGCCACCAATTAGAAACGAATTTCACGCGTGCACGTCCTCCGCCCGTGTTTCCTGCCGGCCGAATTTCGCGAGTGCAACGAGCAGAAACGCGGGAAACGATGGACGGGAATTGCAGGCGGAACCAGTTGAACGAACAGTAATTACGCGTGCACGGAGGGCGGTGTCGATTCGAAATGCCCGCGGCTGGGGATCGGTCGGGGATCGAGTATTTCGAGGCACGCGTCACCGATCCCGATGAACGGGATACAGGCCGACGTTATGAGCGCGATAATTAATTGACTCTCGTCTCGTCGTTGGAGGGAAAGTTGGAAGCGCGGGCGCGGCAACAATGGATCGACAGGAACTTTCATCCGGGAAGTTTGATTCGGGGCGTAGGGAATGATTAGCCCCGGCCGAACAACCGCCAATCAATTCTGCGGAGACAGGGGCGATGATCGTGTAATTATCGCCCCTCTTCACGCAACTTTGGAACGTGTAATTTGCATCTACGATGCGGCATCCACGAATTCTTGCAACGAACTGGGTATCGATTGAGAGAATTGCTTGAAGAATTATATCAGTAATACAGTGTTCCAGTGTTTGACAAAGTTATTTTTTCATTATTATTTCGATCTTGAGATACGTTACAGCCTCGGTAAAATATTCTTTATTGTATTTATATTTATATTTATATCGTTTATCGGGGAAAAAGTATCTATCTCCCGATTGAAATTGAATGAAACAATTGGCCACCCTCTACTTTAATTTTTTGATATCAATTGATAATTCGATATCGTATACATTTTACTTTTAAATATTGTAAAAAGAGCTAATTATATTCAAGTATATTAGTAAAAAGCAACAATGGCGCATCGATTGTTCACGATTGTTCCTATAGCTCCAACCCGGATGTATTGAAGACGAATAAAAATTCAAATGAACGGAATCCCAAATAAGAGACTGAAATCCTCGAAGACCAAAACCGTAAAAACGTGTATCGACAACATCGCGCGCGCGAAAAAAAAAAAGAAAAAGAACCAGTGGATAATGAAACACGAAAAATCGCAGTATCGTTACGTAGCGTCGCGTCGTTCTTTTCTCATCGAAACTCTCTCCCATCAACTTCGAAAATCGCCGCGTCAGTGTTTCGCAAGTGGTTGATAACGATCGCGAGCGAAGGAGACAGACACGCGTGCTTCCGTGATAAACCGTGATAAACGGTCGAAAGAGGTGTGTGCGATTCTCGAATGGAACAGAAGACATCGAGGAGCGCGGTGGTCAGGATGTGGAGCGGTGCGCGCGTGTCCGTGGCAGCAGAATCAGCCTGGTGGAAATATTTTAACGCCACGGGGCGAAATCCTCGTTGATGACAATTCCAGAAACGCGTGAGGCCTCCCGGGGCTCACCTTTTGCGACGTCGCTCCTTTTTCAGTGCCGCGCCGTTTCCAGGCCCACGTTCCACGCACGCCCCTGCCCTCGAGCGAAATTTCCGTATTACGCCCACGACGCTACCTCGATATCGTTCCCTTCCATCCTCCGTCTCCTTGCTTTGATCACCTTGCTTTCCTCCTGGAAAGGGACATCCCGCGTTGCAACCTTTGTGCGCGCTTCCCTGAAACTAACGTTCTCTGGACTGCGTACTCCTCCCCACACATCCTATTCGAGAGAGGGTGGAAAATCTTGCGACAACCGATCCCCGTTACGAAACTCGGAATTAATATTAAAATATGCATCGAAGCGCGGGACACGGAATTGATTAGCGCGTTCTTATCTCGGCGTGGGTTTTTTTTTTGCCTTTTTTTCTTTTTTTTTCGCCACCGCACGGAAGCAATATTCCCGTGTTAGCGGTCCAATATCCGACTGGCCGGCTCGTCGATGGCTTCGCTCGATCAAAAGACACGATGCAACCCTTTGCGCCTCGAGGGATCCCTTTGGAGGGGGTGTAGCATATAAATTGCTCCCCATCGATTCTACGTCAGCGATTGTGCGACGTCGAGCAACCCGCGCTGTAGTCTTCTCTTCTATGTGTTCGAGCAACAGTGGAAGTGGATATGGAGGTGGTGGTGGTTTGTTGGACAGGTGTGTTTCGCAAAACGGGAATTGCTGTACGCGCGTACGGTTGTATGTGTGTGAGAGAGAGATAAAAAGAGTTTCTTTAGTTGGAAGAAGAAGAAGAAGAAGAAAAAGAAGGAGGGAAATTTGAAAGAGAAATAAAGTTATTTAAAAGGTGTTTCGAATCGAAACGTATTTGTGGTTATTTGTTGGGAAATTTGTATGTAATTTTCTATCTGGTGGATATTTTTTCCTCGATCGAACATTTTGCGGGAACAAGCATTTCATTATGTCGAAAATAGAGTCGCGGGGATATAATTATACGTAACGTTACGTGATAAATTCTAAGTAATAGGAATGAAACTGACACTTATGGAATTCCGGGACGTTTGTACAAAATTATACCACTTCCTGCGAGAACGCTACCCTCTCTAGCTAATGAATAAAGTATGTAGATATTCAGATAGAAAGATAAAATTACACCGGACACTTTGTGCCTTTATTTCGGCCTGGTATATATCCACCGTTATATAACGCGAAATTGCATACCCAAATAATTAATTTATTCCTTTATTCATGCACCGAAATAAAGCCTACAACTCGACCCGTACAATTTCGCATAAATATTCCCGCATTTCGTTAACATTCTTATTTTGTATCAATCGAATAATACAAATAGTATGCATCAAAAATTCTCGTGAAAAATTTATCGTATGTTCGATAAAAATTCGCGAGTATTCGTACGTATTGTACGGAAGAATCAAATATCGCGAATAAAAAATATAAAAAGGTGTCGCGAAATTTTTTTTTCTAAGCGTTTCGGTCGATGAATAAAGAACAGCGTGATCTTGAATATGCTTTTTGTTTCATTCCAATAATATCTTTAAGCGTTTCAAAGTTGTAAAGGTTGAGAAGCGTAGCGTTAAAATACAAAGATTGGCTCAATGGCCATTCATGTACGATCTACATTTTTTCCTGGAAATGCGTAGTGGTAGTAAAAAAAAAAGAAAAAGAAGATGGTCAGTAATTCAACGTCTGTCACTGACCATCGTAGAGTTTGAGATAGAGCGACGAAGAAGAAGAGGTAGAAATTCCTTCAAAATTACTTCTTTTTTTAGAGGACCATATCTCGCGAAACAAAAATCGTATCGGTATGAAACGAAAAGCATCTTAAAGAGAAAGATTTCCCGCTTCTAACAAGATTAAATTCGGATAATAATTTCGCCTAACTTTGGAAATACAGCTGTTTAAAGTTACGATATTTTTAA